TCGTTTATTCATAGACAAAGTTAAAAGAAAAGAAAAACTGCAAGTTCGTAAGATTGTGATATGGAATAATGTAAATGATTGAATATATTTACTATCTTAGTGATCTATTACAGTTTCATAAATATTGTATAACTATAAATTATGGAATAATAATTAAAAATCGTTGTCTCCTTAGTTATTCCAACAGTTTTCAATTGTTTTTTTTTAAATTTTAACACTATGATGTACGTTTTAATGAAATAATACATTTTTGATGTTTTGTTTCTATTTACACTTTCCTCTTCAGTATTTTCTTATGTCTCTCTTTTTATAAACACACTCATGTAGGCCAATCTACTGAAACTTTAAACATCTTATTAAACTAGATAATTTTATATTCATTTAAACAATATCACTATATAACATTTAAAACACTCACTATAATTAATAAATGTATTCAAATATCTTTAACTAAAGTTGGTATAAGTAAATATTAAGAATAAACCACCAAGTCTTTTTTTTGGATCCACTTAGTAAACTATCAAGAAAAACTATATCATAAGTAATTCCTTCATTTTTGATCAACTTACTAAACGTGCCTTACACTGGCTCATATATTTTGTAGTTTTCTTTTTCAATAAATTAAAATGTTTCTTTCAAAAAAATTGCACTGACATTAAATATTTGTGAAAATAATGATAGTTACACACGCATATTTCGAAAAAAAAACGATACTATAGAAGAAGAGAAAAAGAAGAAGAACATGCTCTACTTAGTAGATTTATTTAGTTCAAAATAAAGAGATGTAGGCAAATGCAATAACTCTTATAGAAAAGAAAAAAAGGAGTAATCATGAAAAATTCTCTTTTTTTTTTCTTTAAATTAACTAAATAAAGCAATCCTTCGAGGAAAAAAGAAACAACAACAGTAGAAGAGAAAATATAAGAAACAGAAAGATAGGATTTAATGATCGATCACTCAGTCAGTTAGTCAGTCAGTCAGTCAATCAGTCAGTCAGTCAGTCAGTTAAAGGAAGATTAAAAAATCCACAATCATTCAGTGAAACAAACGATTATAAACTAGAAATTATTTGTTCTAGAAAAAAGAGAAAGAAGATAAGAATCGACTGTATGTATGCTGGAATATATTGAATAGGATGGGTTATGTTATGACCGAAATTTATATATATATATATATATATATATATATATATATATATATATATATATAACTGTGTGACGTTTGTGCTTGTCAGCATGCTTCACCCGACCAGTTGATATATCACTATTATGATTGTTGCTGTACAGATTTTTCAATGTGACAGAAAAAATCATCGGAAAGAAAAAGAATTTTTAGTTCTTCTATAGGTTATTTTCAGTAAAACTTTACTAGAATCAATTAAACAGGAAGAAAGATAAAAAAGCAAAGTATATAAAACCATAATCAATTGACCTTGTTACTTAAGTAGCTCAAATTCATTACTTTAGAGACTTTGTTTTATTTTTAGCAAAGTTTTCTATTCATCTTTTATTGGACTTATATAATGTTATAAAATGAAAAGCACTGAACATACACGAAGGATGCGAAAAATTGGTATTCATAAAAAACCGTATAATACTTATTCAATGTGACAAACTCTAGAAATTTACAATAAACTTAATTCTTTTTTTGGTAAAAACAATCAATAATTACATATGACTCAAGTACTATTATGCGCGCTTCTCCACTAGACAACGGTGTTAATGTCTAACTTCAACCACTCAACAAAATTGCTTGACCATCCTCGCGCACAAGACCGAAGGTCCTAGGGTCGAATCTCGCGTGCGAGATCGTGTGTGCGCACTGTCGAGAAGTCCCATACTAGGACGAAACGGCTATCCAGTGCTTCCAGGTTTTCCATGGTGGTCTAACATCAATAGATTCATGATCTCAATCAAATACTTTATTATAACTACAATCTCACACTGTTAATGAAATTCTGTCAAAGTAATGGAAAATAACAATTGTAGGTAAACATGAAAAAAAAGGAAAATAAAGCCAAAGGTAACAATTCATTATGGTCGAAAGGTCTTCTTAATTATTGTGATTTTTATTTAGTAAACAGAAGGTTGACTTGTGACAAGATATCCGTCTTCTGATAAAGGTTCAGTATACTGCTTCGTTGTACTCTCTGTCGTAATTAATGGTCATGAAGTGTGACCTTTAAAAAAGTGGAGATATTCATAGGTTATTGATGTTCGATTATAGATGCCTTCAAACATATTGGAGCCATCGAGTTAGTAAATACAAGGTTAATCGTAGGGTACTGAGCAAAATTAATAAATCCATTGATTTAACGAGTCTTTATCGACCGAGATTACCAGGATGTGAAAGACGTATTCCCATCCGATGCATAACTTGACACATGATGATGAGTGGTCTAGAAGTAGGCTGAAAGTAGGCTGGAGGTTAGCCAAACCTAAATGTGGTATCAGTTATATAATGACATCAACTGACGAATTAATCCATTTATGTAGGTGCTGACTACCTAGTTAGGATTAGCGTGATTATCGTAACCGGTAGCTCATGATCCTTCACAACGGCACAGTCGCGTTAGATCACAAATTCCTTAATTACCTTATAAATTAGTTTTTATTTGGTTAATCAATATTTTCCTCCCGAATCATATATTGCGTGCTTCATCTTTTCTACTACCACCGATATTTTTGCTATTTTGTTACTAATGGATTTGCCGAAGCTTTGTTAAAAGAGTGTGATAGCTTATAACAAGGTATACATATGCTAGGTTCAATGTTGCATACGATTGATAGAAATAAAAGGGAATGACTCTGTTGTGTATTGGTTGCACTGACACTTATACATTTTTTTTCTTTTTTTATATTATCCGTGCTGAATCCTCACTTATATTCAATCTTTTCACTTGAATTTATTCATCATTTAAAAAAATAATAAAAACCGAACAATGAAATGTAGTCAACAAAATTAACTTAAAACTACTTAATTGTCAAGGGAACTAATAATAGATAACTATTAGAAGTGTTCAGTAAAACTAATCAAGCTAAGAGAATAATATTTTAGTATTGAACAATATCATACTGTTTTATTGATTTCTTTTACCTACTCCTAATGAGAGAGAATATTTGAATTGGAAAGAAATTCGGATGTTTTTTTGCTCATGTTAATTCTTATTGTTCGACAAAATGTTTTGAGTTCAAGTAACAATTTACTTGAACTCAATATAAATGTCGAATATTATTATGCACAGAAGAATTATGCTATGTATAGATATAAGATTGTTACATATGACTTTCAAAGTTGATAATATTACAATTCTTAAATCTATTGCATTATTCGGAATTATTTTAGTTCTGTACATACTATTATAACAATTCAAAACCACATAGAAAAAACATCTTTGTATCAATGGCAAGGATTGACATGGTAATTTCAAAATAGAACGAAACGGTCATTCAGCGCTTCCAGGTTTTTCACCGTGGTATAACTTCATTTAACTCATGATATCAATTATTGGAGTTACTATAATATCAACAAAAACCCTTCTGACATGAATCAATACATGCGCACTAGTGACTAATTTCGAAAGGTATTTCCTGGAGTTCTTTCTAGAAGATGTGGTCAGAGGAGTTCAACTGTATCTGTTGTGAGATACTAACTCACTGAAGACGATGGTCGATGTGTCGCGCAACTTCATGGATGCTGGCTTAATGGTCTGGAGGCTAAGCGTTCACGCGCGAGACTGATAGGTCATGGGTTCGGATCGCGCGAGGTGGGGTCGTGAATGCACACTGCTAAAGAGTCCCACAGTTAGAAGAACAGGCCATTCAGTTGTTCAAGCACTTACGTTGCGATCTATATATATATATATATATATATATATATATATATATATATATATATATATATATATATAATGTTAAAATAATGCATAAACGTTTTTCCAACTGTGAAGAAAGACGACTGGATGAAGGCTACCATATGTTGCTAAACCTTAATGCCTTGAATAGAAAGGAACACCTAAATATCCATTTAATATAGACTACTCATCCGTACATTCAAACTTTAATTTAATTCACGTTCCATAACACTAATAACAAGAATAAAAATATTTTGATCGTTACTTTTTCACATTACAAACATCAGCTATTCCACACTCACTAACACACATAATACAAGGTCTCATAAAGAATCACCTTGAGTAAAATGACGTGTGATCAGGCTGTTTCGATTATACTAAATGGCATTCTGCTTTGTTTGGTTTGCTATAACTTATTTGATTATTTATTCTCTTAAGAGGCAATTTATACTAGGTAGTAAAAGGTCGGAAATACATTTTCCAGCCCAATAAAATTTTACCTATACACATAGATCATTATCATTAAAAACAAAATGTATACTCTACAAATCCTCCAACTATTCCTGTTATATAAAATGATATAAAAATTAAGCGAAAATAAATAAAATCATATTATTAGTAAAAACAATTCAAGGTTTTACAAAAATATGATATTTTGATTTATAAAAAAAATCATTAATTCGATTCATGAGTCGATTAAAGCTAAACCACTATAAAAAACCTGGAAGCTTCGGATGGCCGTTTCCATCCTTAGCAATGCGCACCCACGATCCCACTTGCACGATTCAAACCTAGGACCTGCGGTCTCACGCTTAATCTCTAGACCACTGAGTGGGCAACCAACAGTGTTAATGTCATCCAGTGTTTCCAGATTTTCCATGATTACTTAACATTAATCCACCCATGAATTCAACTATTAAATTACCACAATCTGCGCAAAACCCCCTTTCTCATAGAAAAAATTGAACCAAAAAATTTACAAACTTATTTTCAAATATATTACTTTTTGCCAATAGAGTAGCATAATACTATTTTTATTACTTCATATAGCAAAAATATCAATATCTATTTATTTATCGTGTAGAAATGGATAAGCAATTGAATAATAATTCATAGAAAATGATAACTCAAATAATAATATACTGACCTGATAATAACATTGGATCAATGTTTTCACCTTTCTTCACTTGATCCGGTTCACCAGTTAATGAGCTTTCATCAACCTTCAAATCATTACTTTGAAGAATCACTCCATCAGCAGGTAGTAGATCACCTGTAAACAAGAATTATAAAAAAATTACGTGTAATACTAAAAAAAAGAAAACTCGAAGTAAGGTTAGAATATGGCAGATGATTACGCGACATCGAAAATAGACCGGGGTTAGATATGCAGACCAATAGATATCAGCTCAGTGGTCTAAAGCCTAAACAATTACATGCAAGAACGAATGTTCTGGTCTCTAATTTCCTGCGGTGGGATAGTACGTGCATATTGCTGAGGGATCTGACACTAAGACTATGCAGTTATCAATTACTTTATACTTTCCAATTGGATCCTAACTAAAATCAGTTTATGATTTAAACCACGAAAAACAAAGCGTCAAGTGAGAGATTATTGAATAAAGTTTAAACACATGGAGAAATCGTTGATTAAAAATTTATTTCGTGATCTTTTTGTTCAGTATAATGTGTGGAAGCTCATGGATTTGTATTGGGACAAATAAGAATGTAAAGACTGGAAACTTCGGAATACATACATTAAAAGAAATAATTATAACACAGATCCGTTTATTCTATACCTCATTTCAATATTTATGATTTCTTTTCTTTCATTTAATCTAAATTATTCGTGTTTGTTTTGATATCACACCGCATCATTTTTCTTTATTCGTGTTTTTTATACATCTAATAAACTTTTATGAAGTATTTAATAGATATATCGTTCAACAACAATTTCAGTGTATTCAATATCTGATGAACACACATTTTTCAACTAAGTAATACCAAACAGATATTTTCAAACATCAAGCTTTTTTTTAGCCTGAATACAATAACTAGTTTCCGTTTTCAAAACTGACAGTGATCCATAAACGAGGCACTGTGTGAATTCATCTACCATTTACAAATGTGAAATAATGTTTACTAAACTACATTCATAGTCTTCGTAATAACAATGTTCAGTCTTATTCACATATATCTGTGTAATTCATACATAACTACTTCATCGAAATCAAAGTCTATTTCCTTAAGATTAACTTAATCTATTACCGAATAGCATCATTAATGAATAAATCTTATGTATAAAATAAGGCGAAAAACATTATCAGATATGTGTGTAATAACTATTTCAATTTATTCATCATCATAAACATATGTTTATTGAGGTATCATAGAGTAATAAATAGCTATTATCATCCACTGTAATACTAATTGGTAATTTGTATCCATGACATTATCAAGAGATTAGATGTCGAGCTTTCAAATTTCCCAGCTAGTTTATTGTCTTAAAACTATTGAGTAAATATTCAATTATTCATATTTTTAATATCAGTCAATTAATAACGTTGTTTGACCGTTATTATCAATCAATTATTTAACAGTCACAGTAATCACTGATCAGTAGTCACTATTATTAAAGGCTAATGTTTTGTTACTTTGCAAGAAAATTAAACATATGAATATAAATCATTTGAATAATATATTTATCTATTAAAAATTAATAAAATTATTGTTTACTCTTTTTTAATGTTAAATTTAAACTACAGAAAAAAAAAGAACTTCAAAAGATCTCAGATACATAAATAACTAGATATGTTTGAAAATACCACAAACATCTCTTGATATCGGTATTGTAATTTTCATTATTCTATTTCAGACTTATTAAAACCTTAGTAAATACATAAAATTTATTTTAGCATATTTGTGTAGTTTTAAGAATATTTTTTCATCTTTGATTTTGCAAAAAAATAATTAAGAAAATAATTATAAAAGTGCATAATTTAATCAAAACAAGTAGGAATAACCGCTAATATCTATAATAGATATACTGGTGTTGTTGTATATTACAAATAAATGTGTTTATTTAGCATAATTTAGAAAAGAAGAACTATTCTAATTAAATTGAAGTATAGTTAGTTCAAATGTACTGATGACATATTTTGTATTGATCTAAGTCATATTGATAAAAATATTACTTTTCTTTTACCATATAACACTATTTACTTTATTTATGTATATTACTGTAAGGTCTGATGATGAAATAGTTGAAAACAGCCGTTCGCTCATGTGTTCTTTACTTCTGAATACTCTATGAGGATCTTTAAACTGTAGTATACAGCTACAAAGCATAGGTACAAATATTTACGCTAATAAAAATCAACACATAACTAACTGATCACAACGATATGAAGTATATACAATTATTTCTATAATCATAATTAATGATAATAAGCGATATGATCTATTTGTATGGTACACACTGTTGTAGGATTTTACAACTTATTCAATAAATTACACAAACTGATCATCATAAAATTTTGACGAAGAACTATTCTATTAAGAAGAAAGTTCAGAAAAGCGATATCAAGCAACAGACTAAACATGCTTAAAGATAAACGCTTTCTCGCTCTAAATGAATAATAAGTGTGTTTAAAACTTTTTCAAACACAAAATAAAACCAACTTTTTACAGAAATGAAGTATTCTCTTAAGAGATAAACATTGGGATAAAAATAACTGCAAATAAATTTTTTTACAAAGCTGAGCAACACAATTTATTTTTTTGCATCCTTTTTTTCAATCAAAACAGGTCAAAAAACGGTGGGAGTTTCTATAATTAGCAATGCTACAGATGGGATATATATATATATATATATATATATATATATATATATATATATATATATATATATATATATATGTTCGCATTAACCATTCGCTTCTACCCATAACAACTTTATTTGTATTCAAGCATATGTTAAGAACATTGGACCTTAAATTAACGACCTTTATTTGTTCGGATATTCTTGCCAAAAGCAATGAAAATTTTTCTCACCATCAAAAATAATCAATGCATAATTATTTTTTATAGAGTTAAACTTGACTTTCTGTACATTTTTGTTTATATCATTTCAACTGAAAGAAATTTAGATTGGGTGAATAAATGAGTCTCTGATTGCCACAATAAGTTCAACTATAAGTCGTTTTAATAAATTTCCAAGATGAGAATAAATAAAACTTTATTATGCATAATTATTACATATATATTAAACGTATTATATATATATATATATATATATATATATATATATATATATATATATATATATATGCTCAGGTAATTTTCTTAATCGATAACTGATTTACCAACATAGTAATAACATTTGTTTATTTTTATAAAGATAAAATGTCTGTAATGAAACGAATGAAAATTTTGTAGTGTAACCAATATGCCACAGCAATTGAACTCTACTAAACATGACTTTTAAAGTCCCTATTTTTCTAGTAGCAAAAACTGACAGAATCAAGGATTTGTGGTAAGAAATGCGGTGTTGGTGACTGTACGTAACTTATAAGTTTACCATGGTGCATAATTCATTTTTCATAAACAGACTATACCGCATTAAGAAAATTAATTTTATTTGAAAGGTTATTTTTTCAAGTCATTAACATCTAAGAGCGATTTCTCAAAGTTCCTACAATGTTTATGCCTGGACGCACTGGAAGGTGTTTTTATATCAATCATAAACGTCTTATCACTAATTTTCACTAACTGGGAAAACAGTTTTTTGGTAAGCTTGAAATTTGTGTTACTCTTCCCTATTTTTTCAATGGCTAGACTAAGAAAAATCTTAACACTGTGCAAGAACATATTCTTATTTCCAGTAACTGTATTGTTAAATACGGTAATAACTAACCTTGTCTTATTAACTCTATAACTTGCAGTTTAAATAATAATATCTGCAAAGTTTTTACACTTACAGTCTTACATTATCATGATCTAGTCAATATGTTTGCACAAATTACACAGACACTGGATATTTGGAGGTGGTGAACATTGATCGAATGATATTTCTAACAGCGTCTTAAATTGCCTATCGATATTAGACTTTTCTTTGTATTTCATAATATTGATACGATCTGAGCTCTCTCTTCCTAAACTAGGTTCTCAACAGTTAGTTTATCTCATCGTTAGTTCTCTTACTGCCACTAAGTGAATTCAGTCTATTTTTAATTCATCTTGTGATATTTATTTCGTTCTGCTAATCTGATATGACAGCTTTGACTAGCAGGCATCTGAATCAAGCTCCATGTTAATGGTATCTAAGTTACCGATTGTAACTAATGAAACCAAGAGATATCAAAGAAATAAACGAAAAATTACCTAACAATCTACATCATAAAAATTTTTATGTAAATGAAGTACATAAAATAGACTTTTTAATGGAAACCGTAATAAATGACAGGTATCAAGTAAACATTATATAAGTAGAATTATACTAATTAAAATTTTCTTATAAAATAAAACATATAATGGACATCAAAACTATTCTTATTTTCCCCCTTGTTTTCGAATTTTGACATTATTTCTCTCTAAACTAATGATTTCTTTTAGTTGTATTTAAACAAATTGTGGTAATTTTTTTAATCTGACGTTTATCTGTGAATAATTATATGCTTTTTTAGGAATATAAATAACCATAGGTAAATCAAATCAAATTTTAGCTTGGACCGACCAATTGTTAAACCCTATATCATAAAACAATACTGATTTAGTTAAACCGATTTCACAAATTAATAAATATAGACTGATTTTGACTACACAACTGATCTCTTTCTAGGATATACGAAAATTTAAGAAAGAAACAATTCAAGACAGATTGTGTTGTATTTATTTGACATATACTATTCATTGTTTTATTAGATTTTCGATAGTGTTTATTAATAAAATCCCCAAAGACTATTACACAATGTATGCAAAATGAGTCTGTTCAACTTAGTTTAATTTGGATGATGTTGTTCAAACTCAAAATGAAATACATTTTCAGGATTGAAGTCAGCATTATCTTTTCTAAAGAAAAACATTATTTACAATGTAAACACAGGAAATGGTATATCCTCTTATTATTGAGTTAATATATAAACAAATATTTGTTAATCCAGTATGAAACAGCTGTACAGGGCTTCCTGATTTCCAATAGTTTACTAAGATCCGTCCATTCTATAAATTATGTTAATTCAGATTTATATATTAACAAAAATAAAAAGCTAAAAA